GGGGCGAAAGACCAATCGAACCATCTAGTAGCGGTTCCCTCTGAAGTTTCCCTCAGGATAGCTGGCTCTCGGGAAGAGACGAGTCTCATCCGGTAGAGCGAATGATTAGAGGTGATGGGGTCGAAACGACTTCAACCTATTCTCAAACTCCCAATAGATGAGAGCCAGGCTTGCTTAAAAGTGAAGCCGCGGGACTCGGATCAGAGATGCCAAGTGGGCCAATTTTGGTAAGCAGAACTGGCGCTGTGGGATGAACCAAACGCAGAGTTAAGGCGCCTGATTCGGACGCTCACGTGAAACCATGAAAGGCGTTGGTTGCTTAAGACAGCAGGACGGTGGCCATGGAAGTCGGAATCCGCTAAGGAGTGTGTAACAACTCACCTGCCGAAGCAACTAGCCCTGAAAATGGATGGCGCTGTAGCGTCGTGCCTATACTCTGCCGTCAACGGCAAAGCGGGCCGCCCCTCACGGGGAGTCCGCCGTTAAGCCTTGACGAGTAAGAGGGTCGCGGCGGTGTGCGCGGAAGGGTCTGGGCGTGAGCCCGCCTGGAGCCGCCGCCGGTGCAGATCTTGGTGGTAGTAGCAAATACTCCAGCGAGGCCCTGGAGGACTGATGTGGAGAAGGGTTTCTTGTGAACAGCTGTTGCACAAGAGTCAGTCGATCCTAAGCCCTAGGAGAAATCCGAAGAGAATGGTTGCCGTTAATGTTACCGCAGTCTGCCCACGAGGGTTGGGGCCGGAGCCCGCGGTCTCGAATTATTTTTTTTTTCATTAGAAAAGATTCTTCGAGCCTCCGCGTGCCCGCGTCCTCAGCCCGTGGCGGGCCATGTAGTGCAGGCACCGTTCGGGCGAAAGGGAATCCGGTTCCTATTCCGGAACCCGGCAGCGGAACCGCTCCAATTCGGGCCCTCACCAGAGGACTCGTCGGGGTGACCCGAAATGACCCGGAGAAGCCGTAGGGAGGTCCGGGGAGAGTTGTCTCTTCTCTAAAGCGTTCGAGTTCCCTGGAAGCCTCTAGGAGGGAGATAGGGTTTGGAACGCGAAGAGCACCGCACTTACGGCGGTGTCCGGATCTTCCCCTCGGACCTTGAAAATCCGGGCGAGGGCCACGGGGAACACCGCGCCGGCTCGTACCATATCCGCAGCAGGTCTCCAAGGTGAATAGCCTCTAGTCGATAGAATAATGTAGGTAAGGGAAGTCGGCAAACCCGATCTGTAACTTCGGGATAAGGATTGGCTCTGAGGATCGTGGCGCGCCGGGCTTGGTCGGGAAGTGGAGCGGTGCCAACGTGCCGGGCCTGGGCGAAGTGAAAGGCGTTTACGCGCCCGGATCCTAGCTCGGTCCCGTGCCTTGGCCACCCACGGATCTTCCTTGCTGCGAGCCTCCGGCTGTCTAGTTGCCGCGCTCACGCGCGGCGGACGGGCCGGCAGGCTCTTCGGCCGCCATAGAACGATCAACTTAGAACTGGCACGGACCAGGGGAATCCGACTGTCTAATTAAAACAAAGCATTGCGATGGCCCCAAGGGGTGATGACGCAATGTGATTTCTGCCCAGTGCTCTGAATGTCAACGTGAAGAAATTCAAGCAAGCGCGGGTCAACGGCGGGAGTAACTATGACTCTCTGGTTTGCGAAGGGTTCATAGGTCCAACTGCACATTGTGGAGAAGGACACCTATGATTCCATGTGCCTATCTTCACGTCCTCGTCGTGCAAACCGGGCAACGTACAAAAGTACGGCTAACGAAGAAGGCTATAGGTCGGCGCATACCTGGGAACGATCTTAGGATGTATCCCGAAAAGCGTCTCTCTGTCCACCATCGCCATGTGGGCGTAAGTGGCAGGGCCCCTCCAAAGGCGGCAACCCCGCCATATGCCTACTTACCTGCTCAGTGCGGAGGGGGCAACCAAAGGAAGAGGCTTCTAAGTCGGATACGGGTTGCCAGCCCGTATCCGACTAAAACCACGGGCAGGATGGAAAAAGATACAACTTAAGGGGCGTCCCACAACAGGACGTCCCTCCTGTGGAACAGGCTCCAGGGGGACCAGTGGCCGGGACGTCGTCCCAGGCAGATGATGGCTTCGTGTGCCAAATGTGTGGACGTACCTTTGCCTCCAAAAAGGGGCTGGGAGTCCATCTCAGGGCGGCGCATAAAGAGGCGGCAAATGAACAGGTAAACCTGCCGGCCGTCAAAGTCCGATGGAGTGATGAAGAGTTGAGGTTAATGGCACGAAGGGAAGCAGAGGCGTTGCTTCAGGGCAATCGCCACATTAATATGCACTTGCTCCATTGTTCCCCGACCGAACGCTGGAGTCAGTAAAAGGCGTGAGGCGCCGTGCTGACTATAAGGCCTGGGTGGTGCAGGCCCTGGCAGAACTCAGAGCGCGGCCCCTACACCGGAACCTTCCGGGCAGGGGTGGAATGCACCAGATGCATTCACGGCTGATGACCTCCCAATCCGGCATGGGTATCTGATCTGCATGAAGCAGTGAAGGACCTGATGCAGCAGACAATAATGCCTGGAGAAGGCTTCTGCGCGGAAGAGCTACGCTCTCTCGCCGGAAGAGCGTTGGAAGGGCATGATGTCTGTGTGGAATTGGGGAATTGGTTAGGAAATTGTTTTCCTAAAACCATAGAGGCCGGGCTCAAGAAGCCACAAGGATTGCACACTAAAGAACGCGCCATCTTTCTAAGCGTATGCAAAGGAAGAGAGAATATGCCAGGGTTCAAGCAATGTGGAAGCGTGACCGCACTAGGGCCGCACGTGAAGTGCTTGATGGAGGGCAGAAAAATAGAGGGACCCAAACCCTTGAGGAATTCGAGGAGTTTTGGGCACCCCTAATGGAAAATGAAGGTATCACGGGGGAGTCTCAACCTCTTCGGAGGATGAGTGAACCCATTGATAATGACCTCATTGACCGTCAGGTGAGAAGGAGTGTACGTGGGTGGCTTCGGCTACCCAGGGATGTGGCGATCGGGTATATCCACGCTCAAGTTAAAAGTGGAGGGCTCGGTATTCCTAGTCTTCGGACGATGGTGCCGGAGCTCCTTGTAAAACGAATTAAGCGTATGGAGGAAGCTGACAGCCCGGTGGTGAGGGCTGCCTGGCAATCTCGCCGAATTCAGAAGAGATATAACTGGGGTGTGAAGATGCTATCCCGGTTGGGTATCCCGACCGACGGCCCTAGGGCCGGACGGAATGGATACTGGGATTCTCGGCTCCACACCTCAGTAGATGGATTTGAATTGAAGGAATCGGCGAGAACCAGGGCTAGTACTAGGTGGATCTCCAACGCTACTAGTGGTTACCTGGTCGGGACTACATCCAATACATTCACGTGCACTCTAACTCCTTGCCCACCAGGGTAAGAACAAGTAGGGGAGAGCGGAGGAGGGACGGCAGAGACGTGGGATGCCGTGCAGGATGTCCGGAACAGGAGACGGCTGCACATGTGATACAGCGTTGCCATCGCACACACGGAGGGCGTGTATTGCGACACAACGCTGTCTGCAACGTCATTGCGACGGATCTGGCCAAGAGGGGTTGTCAGGTCGAGCAGGAGCCGCATGTGCAGACAGAGGTGGGTCTCCGGAAGCCGGATATCGTAGCAATAAAAGATGCTGCCGCCTTGATAGTGGACACCCAGATTGTCAGCGGAGGAAGACCATTGAATCTTACTCACGAACGAAAAAGAAAGTATTACGCTGACAACCCGGACCTGATAGACGTAATTGCTAGCAGGTTCAGGGTACCCCGAGACGAAGTGGCTGTTACGACGGCCACTCTCTCATGGAAAGGTGTTTGGTCGCCGAGGAATTATGCGGAACTGATCTCCTATGGGATTCCTCCGGGGGTCCGGAGGGGGGTAGTAACGCGTACTCTGCGCGGGTCTCACACAAGTTGGACGCGTTTCAATAAGATGACCACGATGAGGGTCTGATGATGGAAGAATTGTGACTCTATCCCCTGCCCTAAATTGGGGACCGGCGCGGAGACATGTCGGCCTGGGCGGAGGCATGTGGCCGACGTCCGGCCCCCGTATAAATTGACGTCGGTGAAGCAAAAGTCCTACATGGTGAAAAGTCCGACGTCAGCGGGCCGCAATAACGGGTATATGACCATCATACCAAGAAGAAGCGGCCCGCGGTAGGTGGGTAGAGTTCACTCAACAAGCGCCAGACCTCTCGTGCTCTCCTGGATCGGTGTCCTGGTCATTGGTACCCCCGCTTTTAGCCAGGCCGAAGCAGCGGCGTAGGAGGTTAGCATCCTGGGTTGACAGGCGACTCAGGTTGCTGACACTGCAAATGATTCAAAAAAAAAAAAAAAAAAAAAAAAAAAAAATAGCCAAATGCCTCGTCATCTAATTAGTGACGCGCATGAATGGATTAACGAGATTCCCTCTGTCCCTACCTACTGCCCTACCTACTGCTTGGCTGGACTGGTTGAGAGCGCACGTGCTTTGCTGCATCATATAGTCTTGTAAGTTATAAACTGTATTAAGTGCTAATTATTGTATTCTGATAGTGTAAATTTGTTGAATGAATGATAAAAATTATGTTTTGAAAGTTATTTAAGTGTATAATTGAGTGATAGTGGAAGTTTGAAAAGTCGAGGTTAGTGGGGTGATAAAATTGTGAGTAGTCGTGTGAAAGAGGAGTTATTGGAGTGTACGGGTGTGTGCAAGAAAACGGGTATATTGTATGTGTGCTATAGTTAATGATTGAAAAAGTTTTATTAACATTTATTGAATTAATTAACCGCGTGGGTGACCACGTGGTCGACTGTTATTGCTAAATTTCTTAATTTGGGGGCGGTTTGGAAAAATTTTGTTTTGACAATTCTTTAGAGGGTATTAAGGGGTGTATTTTTACAAAATTTTAATTTAATTGGTGTAGTAGATAATTAGTAGTGAGTAAAAATAGAACACCACGTGGCCTTGTTTGGGTTAAAATTTATTTAAAAATTTGTTTCTTTTTGGTTTATTTGTTTGAGAATATAAAATGAGTGAAAGAGAGGTGGCCGAGAGTCCTCATGAGAGTACGCATGAGAGCTCGATGGAGATTTCTTCTCCTGAAGGAGAACTATTAAGTGAGATAATAGTGTCGGGAGGGGGGGCTACTAATGTCGTAGAGGCGGCAGGAGGTGAGTTATTGAGGAGTTTGGAGGAGATGAGGGTGTACTTGGAGAGAAATTTTTCAAAGAAGCACTCCAAATATCTCAAAAAAAGATGTGACCGAGTCGTAGATCGATGTCATAAAATGGAGAGGGAATATGGAAGCTTCTTAAAATTACAGAAAGACTGGATAGGGTGGAGAATAAACTACAGAGGCTGGTGGAGGATGAGGAGAAAAATCGATTGGAAAAGGTAGTTACTAGGAGAATAGATAACATGGGAGAACAAGTTATGAATATGGTTAGGGAAGAATTTAAGAGAATGAGTGAGGGTATCTCGTTGGGGGAGGAGGTGGTACGAATGGAGCGTGTTTGTGAGAATGTTGGTGAGAAAGTCGAGAAAGTAGGAGAGGAGGTTGTGAAAGTTGAGCGGGTGTGTGAAAATGTAAGTGAAAAAGTGGAAAAAGTTGTAAGTGCGGTGAATGTTGTTGAGAATGTGGCGAAAACGGTGACGGATAGTGCTAAAACTGATGGGAACACACAAGAGGGAGAGTGGCTGAAGGTGGTAAAATATGGCAAGAAGGGTCCAAGAGTACGCCTAGAAATGCCTGGTGGTGATTCTAAGTTGAGCAAAGAGGAGGTGGTGGCTTGCTTAGATGCCAAGCAGGGGGACGTACGAGTAAGGGGGTTGATAAAAAGAGGGAATGATTATGTTATTGAAGTACATGATAGAACAGATCTAGAGAAATTGAGACAGAATGAAAGATTGAAAGAGAAAGGGGTGATTGTCGATGGTGAAAAAGGATGGCGAATGCCACGAGTGAAAGTGTTTGATGTGCAGAACGAGATAGGGAAGAATGATCTTTTAGAGTGCGTGTATAGGAGAAATGTGATTTTGTTTGATGGAATGACTATGGATGAATGTAAGAGCGAGTTTGTGCCAGAATATATGATGAATAAGAAGGATGCAGTGAGTGATTGGGTTGTGCGGGTGAGTGCAAGGTTATTTAAGAGGTTGTGTGTTGGCGGTAGAATATATGTGGGAGTGAGAGTGTGTAGAGTGAATGAGTATTTAGGTATAAGGAAGTGTGGGAAGTGCCATCGTTTTGGCCATACAGGGAACAGGTGTGATGCAGTTGTAACATGTGGATGGTGCGGTGTGGACGGGCACCATGAAGTTTCATGTAGTAGGAAAGGTGAGCAGGAGGGATTAAGATGTGTAAACTGTAAAAGATATGGTTACAAAGAAATGGCACACTCTGTACATTCGGTCAAGTGCCCTGTTTTCGAAATGCAGCGGGCTATGTTAAGAAGGATTACACAATATGAGTAAGTTAAAAATAGCACAGTTAAATATGGATAGAGCGATGGTAGTGACAGTGGAATTGCGTGAATGGTGTGTGCGTAATGGAGTGAGTGTGGCAGCGGTGCAGGAGCCTTGGGTGAGTGGAAAAGGCGGTGGTGTGACTGGGTTTGGTATGAATGCAAGGATAATTGTGGGCGGGGAAAGACCGTGGGCTGCGGTAGTGGTAATGGATCCCAATCTAGGTGTCCTAAAGTTGGGGAAATTGAGCAATAATCATTGTGTGGTGGTACAATTGGTAACATCAATGGGAGATTTGTACCTCGTATCATCATATTTCCAGGCGTCCCAAGATATAGATGGACATTTGGAGAATTTGAGAAAAATTGGTCGTGTGTTGAGAGGGAAAAATGTTATAGTATGTATGGATGCGAATGCAAGAAATGTGAGATGGGGAGGGAATGTGGTGAATGGGAGAGGTACGGATCTTGAGTGTTGTGTGGACCAACTAGGTTGGTCATTTTTGAATGACGGAAAAATTGCAACTTTTAGCAACTTTAGGGGTAGTAGCTTTATTGATATAACGGTGGTTTCCCCTAGTATGAATGATAGAGTGAATGGTTGGAAGGTATGCGATAATGTTACAAGTAGTGCACATCGGGTGATAATGTTTGAGGTATGCAAGGGAGGAGTGTTTGTAAGCAGTGAAGTGGAGCGTGCAAAATTTCAAATGAAAAAGGCGGATTGGAAGAAATTTAATGAATGTCTGAGGGAACGTGTGAATGAGGTTGAATGTTTTAGAGTATCAGGGAAAAAAGATGTCATCAGAATGGCCAAAAGGGTTGAAGATTGGATTTTAGTTAGTGCACAGAAGGCGATACCAAAAGGAGTGCGGAGAATGAAGAAGGTGTGTTGGTGGTCAAATGAATTAAATATTCGTAAGAGAGAGATAGCACGGGTGAGGAGGATGTATCAGCGGGGAAGTGTGGGGGACAATAAGGACGCATTAAAAATGGAGTATAACAGGAAAAAGAGAGAATATAAGAAAATGATTAAGGAGGTTAAACTGAAGAGTTGGAATATAT